GGCTAAAAAGGTGGGGGTCATGATTAAAAGCTGAAGAAAAGGATGAAAGATTAAAAGGCTCCATTTCTTGCCCCCCACCCCACTGAAAAGGGGTCCGGAAAGAGAGAGATGTTGATGTGATGAGGCAGGGGCATGTGCGCACATGTATGGCCGGTGCACATACATGAACGGACACACCGGCAGGGCGGAGACGCATGGCAGAGACGGTAATACCTCAGAGTGAGATGGCAACGAAAGCACCTGCTCAATGGTATCCATTTGTAAAGGCCGTTGCAATCAAAGGTCCCTAAAATTGCACAATTGTTAAGGTCATCAGTGCACTATACATGAGAACAGATAGTCATATTCTGGAAAAGGAAATTATCTCTAGGACTAGTCTGTGGTTGCCAGCATGAATATGTAATTCTGAGACACTGTGCCACGACGGGTTGGGGTGACAGCCTTCTTAGATCCAACCCCTCCCGCCCCCAACTGCCCCCCCAAGCCTGTCTGCTTCCCCAGGGAAGCCAAGAGCCAGATTCAGAGGGGTGTGTCGGTGGTGAGAAAGGGGGCCTCAGGCCCAGAATGATGGGCATGGTTGCCCTGGACCCCAAAGGGCAAAGGTAAGGGTCTCTGTTCACAGTCCCAATGGCTGGAGCAAGGGAGAAGAAATACTGGTGCAAACACACTTTGATGCTATGTGGTTATATCAGAAAAAACATCAAAGCACACAGGTCCAAGGACCTAGGTTTTGAAGAACAAATAGGGTCTATGCTTTTGGACACCGGAAATATGAATGAGCCGTGTTTTAAGTGGTGATAGATGGTCCTCCAAATTGACGCAGCTCACAGCTGAAAAATAATGTCCTGGATTTGTGCTACGGTTGATCCAAGGGGATTAGATGCATCAAACTACTGACGTGAGAGGCTGTCATGGGGGTGCCAGCTGCCCTCAGATCTGTTTGAGTGTGTGTGTGTATGAGTGTGTGTGTGTGTGTGTGTGTGTGTGTGTGTGTGTGTGTGTGTGTAGGAGGCAAGAGGGTACTCTGGGCTGTCCACACAGGCTTGGTTTTCCATAGTGCAGTCCCCAGGCAGAGCAGGTTCCAGCTCTCTACCAGATTCAGAGTCTGACAGGGCCAGGACCTGGGACAGCAGACAGCTCCATCTCAGCTCAAAACCAAACTACCCCCCAAATGCTGAGGTTGGCTAGGGCAGAGGTTGGCCAGTTTTCTGTTTCCCAAATGGAAGGGGCAGGGCGCATGTGGGCTCAGGCACATTCATGCTCACACACCGGGAGGGAGAAGAACAATACAATCTGAAAACAGCATGCAAATTGGTTAAGCAAATTTCCATTGCCTGGATTAGTCAGATTATAGAACCACAGAGCATTACAAACATCAAATGCATCTGGCGTTCAGGGGGCTGCAGCTAAAGATCACAAAGGGGACTTACTTGGAACCTGGAAAAACTATAAGAAACGTTAACAAAGGAAACTGCCTGGGAGGGGTGTCCCTTCACCCACCCATGCAGACTAAGGCGGTCACCAAGAGGTGAAGGGATGGCATTATATTGAGGACCTACCTTGTGCCAACAAGTGATATACACTATTTCTATTTATTTTAACCCAGTCTTTAGAGGAAGGCATCCTATTCTTGTTCTGCAACCAGGGACATGAGGGTCAGATAGACTATGTATGGAGCTCAAGGTCGTCAGGGCTGAAGGCGGTAGAGTGGTGACTCGAACTCGAGCAGTTCACACACCTTCCCTTCTGTCACCAGGCCACCCAGGAGGGGATCAGAACACGCCTAGATGGAACAGGCAGCTGGTGTGATGTTGTAGGGACCCACTTATCTCTCCTCTGCCCCTAATACTGGGCCCCCCCTTGCCCCATGGGCTTCACAGAGTTGGGTCAGAAAGGAGTTGGGCACGAGGGCAGGGAGGCAGGTACTTACAGCTATGCCGTGGCCGAAGCCCGAGCCCGGCTGTGGGCTGGCTGCACTTATGTAATTCCCCACTCCGGAGTCCTGGCTGGCAGGGCCGTAGAGATCGGCGACAGGTCCTGGGCTGTTGGCCCCCGGGAAGCCTCCGGGCCGCGCCGGGTTGGAGCCTGCCGGGGAAGCGGGCGCGCCAAAATTCGGTTGAGCACTGTAGCTATTCAGGACTGGTGTGCAGAGAATAGAGCTGGGTATGAGGCCAGAAGCCAGGCATGCACCGATCATTACAAGCCAAACACTCGAGAAAAACAGCTGAGGCCCAACTTCTAACACTCAACCAAGGCCATGCGAAAACATCAGCAGGGACTCAAGAATACTCAGCCCAGGCTACTACTAAGAAGCTTGGAGCTCCAAAAATAGAGAGAAGAAAAAAACAATCATTCAACACACTACGGCAACCAACCGGAGGTGCTTTACTGCCCACCAAATTATCACAATAGAAATAGAAATATATATGGAGGAGAGAGAGAGAAAGAGAGAGATTTTTTTTTTTTCACATCTGAATTGACGCTCATGCAGTCTTCTAGATTTGGGCACGTTGAGACAGCATTCACATCCCATGCAAACTACAAAGGAACTAGTTTTAGACTACACATTGTGTTAATATTGATATTAAAACATGACAGGAAACAAAGCAGTTTGTGTCCAGGAAAAAAAAAAAATCTTTGGGGAGGGGATTTAAAATTTTTTTTTTTTCTCTTTTTTGGTGTGTGTGTATGTTTCATTTTT